CCCCAAAACCCCAAAACCCCAAAACCCCTTCATGAAAAAATACAGTCTAAATAAGGATATTTAAATTTTCAAACTTATAATTTCAAATCTTAAATGATAAGTTCAGAAAAAGCAAAAAATGTAAATTTTGATATATCAATAAGTATTGACTTAGATCTTCACTTACACCCCAGATTAACTTGGTTATGGGTCAGTTTGCAGTGCTTGGTCTCAAGATGGCACCTATATCGCAGTGGCTGGAGAAAACAGAGTAATTAGAATACTAGATAGGTAAGAGCGCCATTTTAAATTTAAATGCTAGGCAAGGAAAGGGTATCTTGGAATTCCCCAGTACTCAGCAACCTAGAATAGAGGGTCTTGGTTGGGACAAAGATAATGATTCACTAGCCATCTTAACTGTAAATTTTTTAAATGTTTGAATATATAGGCATCAAATATAACATCTATTTGGTCAATGGGACTTAAGAAATTCTTTGATATTGAACTACCCTCTAACAAGGACAAGGCTTCATTCATCAGCTGGTCAGGAAACTACCCAGTCCTGTGTATAGGTTCAGAGAAGGGATCTCTCGTGTTTTATCATAGAAAGAGTCAGAGAAAAATTCCATGCATTTCTAAGCATGGTAAGAAGGTCACTCACGGAGACTGGCATGCCGAGGGTCTTTTGATAACTTGTTCTGAAGATAAACTTTTAACCATCTCAAATCAGCAAGGAGATACTGTTTAAGATTCATTTATCGTAAAAGCTGAGCCAACATTAATCAAATGGTGTCCATCTTAAGATATAACAAAGAAAGTAGTTGCAGCAATTATTGGATAAAAGCAAATGATCTTAGTTGACACTCCAACTCAAAAGAGTTACATTGTGAGTTTTTCTCAAAACTATGGAAAGGTCCTAACTTATTAATGGTACGGTGAAGATCATATAATCGTTGGATTCTAGAATGGAATCGTTGCCTTGATTTCTGTCAGTATTGGAAGTCTAGGCTAAGAAAAAGCAACCATCAATGTAGGATCTAATGGCCCTATTGATGCCATATGTGTCAATGCTGATCTCTAAAAAATTGCTGTTGCTTAAATGGGAACTATTAAGTTTTATTCTCTTGAGGATTGGTCTGAAGCTATAGGTGAAAGACTTGAAATCACAAAGAGTGCTGGTAAAATCACAGATCTTCACTGGACTAAAGATGGCAGTATTTTGACTATAACAACAGGTAACGGATATTTCTTCGGATTCTTGACAGTCATTCCATCCCTATGCTCTGCAAGTGATACCTATGCTGCTCTACTCTCCTCTTTAACAGAGGTTTCAGTTGTTGACTGCTCAAAGAACAATATGATTGTAGCCAAGGCTAATCTAGATATTGAACCGACTTTCCTAAACCTTGGAGCACATCACTTCGGAGTAGGTATCAACAATTCGATTTGGTACTATAGATGGAGAAATCCTGGAATGGAGGGCAAAATGCAAATAGTTTAATTAGTATGCAAGAGAGAATATTTTGGAACAATTAAACAAGTGGTAATGAATGACGAGTGGACTGCAGTTCTCTCTGAAGGAAAGGTAACTCTCCATATGATAGAGGACAATAAAAGCAATGACAGAAGATTCCCTCAAACCGATCAAGATAAGCCTGTTACTTTCATTGCATTAGTTGACTCATTCCTTTTGATGGTTGATACTTCTGGTAAACTTAAGTATTATCTCATAGAAGATAATACCATGGTTTCTGAGCATAGATCCCAAAACCCAATTGTCAAAGTTTTCCCAAATAAAAAAGGAACTAAGTGCGTTTGCATCGATAACACTGGCAACGGTTACATATTCTGCCCAGTTGATGACTCAATGCACTTCATTCCAAATTTTTCGGCTGGCACTGAGACAGTACTCTGGGACCTTGATGATCCTAATATTTTTGTTACAGTTGACAAGGAAAAGATGCAAACTTACCTATACATTCCTCTATCCCTAGATGGAACCTAAATTGTGCATCTTCCTGAGTACCTTAAATTAGAGGAAATTGAGAAAAATAAGGCTGGAGTTATCACCTTTGTAGACAAGGACCTTAAGCCAATCATTTTAAAGGGAGGTTTCGTATACTCACATGCGAGAACTGATGGCATCAGAGGATAGTTCTTGACTACTCATTCTTATATCAACAGCTGGAGAGGAGCTTAGGAGACAGATGAGGGTCATTTAAGATACTTCTTGTAATGTCTAGCTATTCAAAGATATAATTCTTGCATGGATGCCGCTAGAGCTTGCTTCAGATATTCATAAGTATTTTTTGAAGCACTTGGTAAATAATGCTTAAAATATATGGATCTTGATACAGCAGAGGCAGCATTCTAAATGTGCAAAAATGTTGGCATGGTTTATTCAATCACTTCAATCAAGCATGAATCAGAAAAATCAATTTTGATGGGACATATAGCCTCAATCTTGTTTAAGCATGATGTGGCTTAGGCCTGCTTCTTAAAATCTAGCAAAAAGGAACTTGCTCTTGAAATGAGAATGGATCTCCAAGATTGGTTCTAAGCTCTCAAACTTTGTAAAGAAATTGCTCCAGAAAAGGAACAGTTCATTTGCAGAAAGTTAGCATCACAAGTTGAAAATCAAGGTAATACTATTGAAGCATAGAAGCTTTATGAGAAGGCTTTACTGAATCCAAATGATGTTACAGATGAAAAGATCAATGTTGAGCAGCATAATACTTAATGCTATGCTGGTATCGCAAGAACTGCAATAAGAATGGGAGACATTCAAAGAGGTTTCAACATTGCTAACGAGCTCAATGACAAGACATTAGTTATTGAGATTGCAGGAGTATGTGAAAGTATGAAGCAATGGACAGAAGCTGCAAAGCTTTATTAAAAAGGCTAGCTCGTTGAAAAAGCTGCTTCCATTTACATTCAAATTGGTATGTTTGCTGCAGCAGCCCCCTTAATTGAATAAATTACTTCACCAAGTATTTTGGTGATGGTTGCTAAAGCAAAGGAAGGAGAGAAAAACTACAGAGAGGCAGAGAAAGCCTATGAGAGAGCAAATGATTATGAAAATATTATCAGACTTAATCTTGATCACTTGGATAACCCTGAAAAGGCAAAGCACATTTTCAGAACAAAGTCCTAACTTCCTTAATGTGCATTGATGATTGCCTCATATTGCGAGACTAGAGGTTTTAAGAAGGAAGCCATTGAATTCCTTGTCCTAGGTGGAAAGAGAGAAGAAGCATTCGTTATCGCTTAATCACATTAAGTTATGGACGAGTATGCAAAGATTATTCTTCAAATCGATGAGAAAAATACTGATGAGCATCTCAGAATTGCCCAATACTATGAGGGTAAATCACAATGGGGAAGAGCTGCTAAGCATTATGAAAAGAGTGAATAATACAATAAGGCTCTTAAATTATATATTGCTGAGGGAGAGAAGATGATTCCTGATATGATTGATATGGTTGCCAAAGTAAAGATTGAAGCTTTAACACACGAACTTGTTGATTATCTCCTTGGTTAGATTGATAATTAACCAAAAGAGCCATAATGGACTTTCAAATTATATAGAGCTATTGGTAATGTCAAATAAGCTGTAAAAATTGCTGTTAATATAGCTCAACAGGAGCAAGAATTAGGTAATTACAAATATGCTCATGATATTCTTTTGGACACATTTAAGGATATTAGAATGAGTAATAACCGTATTCCCTTTGATCTCAATCAAAGACTTATGCTAATTCATTCATTTACACTAGCTAAGAGATTAGTTAAGATGAATGATCATGTAGGTGGGGCTCGCATGTTGATAAGAGTCGCTTAAAATATTTCTTAATTTCCTTAAAATATGGTAAATATTCTGACCTCTTGCGTAGCTGAATGCACAAAAGCAAATATGAAGCAGGCAGCATTCAATTGGGCTTGCGTCCTGGTAAGACCAGAATATAGAAATTAAATTCCCCCTGCATTCCAAAAGAAGGTAGAGTCAATTGCAAGAAAGCCTGTGAAGACAGAAGATGAGCCAGAAGGTGTGAGCCCTTGCCCTTTCTGTAAGTTTGATATTCCTGATACTAGACTTGAATGCCCATCTTGCAAGAATAACATTCCATTCTGTGTAGCTTCTGGTAAACATATGATTATCAAAGAATGGAGTAATTGTCCAAGTTGTAAACTACCAGCAATTTATTCTGAGTTCAAGAGACTACTAGAAGCTGACCCAACCTGCCCTATGTGTGAGACTAATGTACCAGCCATTTCAATCACTCTCTCAAGTGATCCAGATGCAGAATTCAAGGCTCTTACAGCTTTAATGAAGGAAAGTGGACCTAATGAAGAAGAAGGAGCAGGAGATGATGAAGATGGTGATGATATGGATTGATGATTTTATAAATTAAGTATATAGAGATATTTCTACTGTTAATTTCAACATTTTCATTTTAACTCACTTTCTACTACTATATGAAAATAAATAGTTGTCTTCATCTGAATAATGCCAGTAAATAGGGGGCCACATTATTGCTCCAAGTACTGCTCCTTTCTACATTGTTGGCCAAAATCCTTTTGCATATGATGCAGCGAATGAGCCAATGAAGAAGAGAATGTAAGTAGTCGCTATTCTTTTAGAAACTTTTTTCATATCAAGACTAAAATAGTTATGCATCATCAAATTACTAAGTTAGATAATATGACTTGTTTCCTTATAGAACTCCTTTTCTATAGAATTCATTGTAGTTGTAGATAAACATAATGAGTGCACAAACCATTCCTACCCACAAAGCGCCCAGGAATGCTTAGAATAGTTCTCCTATCCCCCAAGCGAGATAACCTGAAATGACTTCTAGGTTATTAAAGCCTTTTAATGACTAATATTGCTTCATAGTATTGGAAATTTTTTTTCTTATTAATTTTTACATTATCTTATCTAAATTTGCCATAAATCTAATTGATGGGGTTTTGGGGTTTTGGGGTTTTGGGG